ATATACAGAGTGTGAGAGTTTGAATTTAATTTCAGGCGAATGATGAGTTAAATCCAATTTTGAATTTTGAGTTGCTGGAATCCGGAAACTCTAAACTTATAACATTTACTCATTATAGGTATTTTTTTGTAAATGTTTAACTTTAGTACCTACACTTTCCAACTCTTAACGCCTCTCATTAATCTTCCAATTTACTGCTACCTTCAACGTTTTCGCAGCAGTAACTGTCTGCGTAATTTGGTACTTGGCAAAACTTTCATTCGTATTTGCACTTGACTTTGGAAATTCCACAATTAGTCAACCTCGTTTGCTGTCACTGCTACTTGCTATGAAGTAAGAGTGATAAATGCGTAGTCACATATCCTATTAAGCGAAGCAATGGCCGAGGACACAGATATTTTTGAATATCAGCGAATGGGCTGGTTTCATTCAGTAAGCCATTGAGTCAAACCTTAATTTCAGCCGCTGAACAATGTTGATAAATACCAGTACATACATATGTATTGAAAAAATTGTAACCAGACCTGTTGAACAAAAATGTCGTTTTTGTAAGGTTCATGCAAATGCGACAGAGAATGCACTCAAGGCGAGACATCGAGATAAGTAGTTTGATCGTCCCTTTTGGACTCATCGTTGTTTGCGCACTTAATTGAGCATTAAAACGGGGAAATGACAGCGATGATGGTGAGACAGTTAAAATTAATGTCAGGAAAAATTCGATTGAGACATGGAGTAAAACGAAATGGTTTTGTATTTTTTGAAGTAATGTAATTATTTGCAAATAATAGTTGGATGTAAATATATGGATGCTTTCAATTGGGATAATAATGATCAACGGACATCAACTCTCTTAATTTTTAAAAATGGTACTTTATGATCTGCCGATATTACTTAGAAAGCACGTTACCACCCTATGAGGCATATCAACAATAAGCCCTTATGAAATCTGGTTCTCTACATATCAGTAAAAAATAAAGGAACGTTTTGTTTTTTTTTTTTCTTGTTGCAAAAAAAGTAGTGGAAGACAATTGCGACACTTTGTGAAAATTTTAGAATATCATACAATTTACTCAAATCTGGCAGAAACATAGCATGTACGAGCAACCAACACCTTGTGGTAAGTTGCTGCGGCATATGCATGTGTATTACTGACTGCAAAATCTCCTACTGGATAGCAGATTTAGTTGCCCTAGGCAATGGTAATGACAATGACTTAGTTGCTTTTATTCAACGCTTCCACTATGTCTGCTATAAGAGATATAAAAACAACACTCGTGTTCGTCTTTCATACTTGTCATCTTTTGTCATAAGCGTTATGAAATGCAACGATATGTCGCTGCATTCAAAAATATTATCCTTTGTCCCTTTGAGCACTTAACCTGTAGTACTACATACATCTCGGCACATAACTCGCATCAGTTTTTTAGCTAGCAACTCCACCAAGATTTTTTTTTTATAAAAAATTCCCACTAGTACTAGAGAGCTTGCGTTGAATAAAATGCACTAATTACAAACCGTAAGTACCTCCATGCTAACCAAGTGCATAACGGATATGTCCATGTAAAGCTTGTCTCAGTTCACCTGTCAACGATGAGACATCGCTCTGTTATACAAAAACGATTTTCCACAATCCTCTGCAGAGTTTACTTTCTTTAAACATATTCGTACTTCTCTACTCCCTTGCACTTTTCTGTTTGTTTACTGTTGAAGAGTCTCTTCTTTTGTTTATGAATGTGAAATTAAAAGCGTGGAAGTCATCCCGGAGGACCATAAAGTGGCTGGAACAATTGCTCTTAATTCACATACGTGAGTAAATATCTTTTGTGTACCATATATAAAGATAAACGAACCTAAAAAGAAAGAAAAAAGAATAATATTTTAGTCAATGTTGATCGTTATTTTTCATAACTGACATATCATATGAGAAAAAAATTATATTTAAACTGTGGCGCACAAACTTTTTCTATTGAACTTATCAATGGGACCTAAATTAAAGAATGTGTAAGTTTAAGACTAAAATGGAAAGTAATACTGAATTCAAGTGATTAATCTGTTCGGCATGAGAAAGTCGAAAAAATATGAATTTTAATTTACCTGAGATGTTTACAAAAAAAAAAGTATTAATTCAGCCAACTCTTTTAAAATTACTTCGATTTGGAGTTTGATGGAGCACTTTGGTACTTTCAGTCCAACGAAATGCAAAGTTTCCACATATAAATGTCTTAAATTAAGCTTTTACTATATATAATGGACAAGCAGTACTTTTGCCCATTACCCATTTTACCACACGTTATTTTTAAATTTAGACCATTTTCCAAGAATATTACTCTGATTTCTAGTACATTTTAAACCCACCGCCAAGACATCAATTTAACTGGCATTACTTTGTGTGAATTTGTCTAGATACAAGTAGGTATTTTGATTGATTTTGACTTAAACAAAATTCGATCAACGTTTCTCCACTTCTCTAATTCAAGTGTTTGGGATACTAACATATAAGAAATATTTGACAACAATTATAAAATTATAAAAACATGCGGCGTTACAAAATTAAAATTTTATTTTATTTAGAAAATCTAAGAGTTATATATATGAATGATGTGAAAAGGTTTATTAATTTTCGCTATTCGCTGTAAATAAACTATAATTTCAACACAATTAAAAATTTAATACGTTTTTTACTTATGCCTATTTAGCATTTCCTTCTCGGTGGCGGCAATACAATTTTTATTATAAGAATAATGTTCACAGTAATTTTAAACGTAAAAGTAAAAACAAATTGTAAATCAGAAAAGGGCAAAATCAGAAAAAAGCAGAAAGAATTGCGGAACCTTTTAACTTTCTAATACACATCCAACTCAGGCGGGAGAACTTAGACCTAAACATATACATATGTATGCACCATAGCAATATGTATATGTATACAGAAATAGGTTTTCTTACGTTGAAGACAGCTGCTATAACAGCAACGTGGCTACAATGCTCAACAAACACTCTATGTATGCGGCTTGTCCTTAAGCAATTCTGAGATTCTCATAGTTGACGATGATGGCACGATGTCTTTACAAAAAAAACAATCTTAATAGAAGGAAGCATAGAAGTATGGAGACAATTTAAATGGTAACAGAGAAACAAAAAGCAAACGAAGAATAGAACCGCTCTTAAAAAGGAAACAATGAGAAATGCGAAATAAAGAACAAAAACACAGGACTAAATACGAAATAATGTATTGTAGAATTGGTACAGGCTTCTAAAAATAAAAACATTTTATAATTAGAAGACACGACAATAGTGAGCATTGTCGCTGCTTAATTACTGCAATAAGAAATCACATTGGGTTTTTTATACGAACTTCTGTAATGACGATAAACTAGTATGAAAACGACCAGGCATGCATCAATCATTAAATTATTTATATATTTGTAAGTCTATAAAAATTTTAAATATCTTGAAGACTTAAAATAATTGTCCTGTTAATATATTTTGACTTGAACTATAAATTTTCTAAAAGCTCCTTACATTTGCATTTTTGTTTGTGCTTACTACGGCCCACTGTCTAACGCGCTAACAGTCAACCCAATATGTCCGCTAAATGCTGTTCAAGTTTGTTTGAATTCTTATGTTCTTTCTCACTATTTTCTTCACTTTACATGCGTTCTTCTTCTCACTTGTTAAAGTAGGGGGAGGGTTATCATGATCTTCCTGACATTATTCCATACATACAAACGCACTTTTTCTGTTACTTTTGTTTCCACCCTTCCCCTGCTATGTATATGAATCTTGTCACTTTGATGGTCATGTTGTCATTCTTTTAGGTAATGGCCACACACTGGTTATCTAACAGTCAGCGACGTGACTAAGCTGCAGATGAGTGCTTACTTCAATGTTTTTTTTTTCTTTGAACATTGTTTTAGTTTATGGTAGCAAATCAGTGCTACCATAATAGCTAATCGGTGGAAGGTAGTACTGAAGAACTGATTGAATGCAGATAAGACAAAATCTCACAAGTGCAACTGCTTTTTTTCGATGTAAACAATTTATTGCTGCGTGGCAAAAGAAAAACACGGATAGCATTTGATCATGTGAAAGTTTTCATATTTTTCTGTTTGTGTATGTTTCTTCATTAAAAAAGGTATAATACTTGTACGTTATGAAAACAATTTTTTAAAGCGATTGAGAAGTTGACTCTAATTGAATTTGTTAAAAAAATTGATTGTATTTGTTACAAACACTGTTTTTTGCAAAAATTAGTAATATAAAATTAAGGTGAACATTTTCACTCACAATCGTACTGAATATAAGCGAAATAGGTTCGGTCTGTTAGGAGAAAATAAATATTTTCGCAAAAAAATGCAATAGAAATAGAAATAACTTTCCAAATTATTTGAATTTCGAAAAATTGTCGAATTTGTATTTTTAATTTATCGTTTAGAAATAAAAATAAGTTTGTTGTACGAGAAAAGCTCGACCATCGAAAAAAAAGCGGTCACACTTGGAAGATTTTGTCTCAGATGCAGATACAGCATCACGAGACTTTTGCTATATTATAGAATATACCATATATTGAATAGTAATATCCAATAATTGATCTCTAATAGTTTTGGAAGTACTGCCCGAAGATGCCAAATTATTATTTTTCTGCACTGAAAAGACTAATGTCTTACTTTGTAATATCCCCGCCCTATCGATACGGTTTTCTAAATTCTGTGAAATTTTCTTAATTTTTTCAAAATTCAATTCTAGCAAAAAATACCACAGTTAAATTTACAATGTACAAACTGAACTCTATAGTACAATACTTAAAAATTCCAAAACTAAACTAAACTAAAAATTAGTTGTCTTCTTCCGAAGAATATCAGTAAATTAAATATCAAAATATACTAGGGTTGCCCTTTTGTTTTCGTATACATAAATATACTTTGGTGTAACTTTTATTTTGATAAAGATTTCTCTACATTCGACATTTTAATGTATTTTTCTTTATTTTATTTTAATTCCAGAACTCTGAGATATTCCAGGTGTGACCATGAATTTAAGCTTCTTAGTTTGGTTTTTACTTATTAGATACCTGCATGTGGCAAGTAACATTCGCATGTGAGAATAACTTAACTTTTAAACCAATATAAATTCAATTAAAAAGATTATATTTCCTATGGAATGCAATAATTTCCTCGCTTATTACTTATTCAACATAAGTACATATCTATTATCTAAACTACTTTATTTGCTTTACTACTTTATTTACCAAAATTTCAGCTAATATTATAAAATCTACGAGAAATATTTATAACATGTCATTAAGACTCATTTCGCAAATAGAACGAAATTTTCAGGCAAATATTTGACAAAAATTGGGAGCAGAGAGCTCAGGACGGTGAATCCCATAAATTTTTCACTATCCTGAATTGCTCAAACAACAAATTATTGTTAAAAATGCAAATACTAGTTTATTGATTTTAAAACCTTAAAATTGTTTATAAAAATCAAACCTGAAATATTACTAAGACATTTTTAGCGAGGTACAAGAAATTTCTCCATCAAAGCAAGAATGACAGCATTCGATTGCATTTGCGTAAGAGGACATGTTAACGCAGGGTTACAACGGAAGTGTTGGCTGCTTGTTTTAACATCCGGTTTAGTTTCTTCGATTCGCTACTCTCCATAAAGATCCATAAAATCCAGCATAAATTGCCTGAAAATGCTTGCGAACTAATTAATTCATTAGCCAAATAACGTACGAAATGAACACACAATAAATGCCACAAAATATTATATCACCTAAAAATAAATACATAGTTGTGAAAATATATAAAATAAACGATATGACATACGAGAATATAAACACAAATATATAATATTCAAAACACAGTGTATTTGCATTCGTGAAATTAAATTATTAATGTAAATATTTGCTTGAACAAAAAGAAAATGTGCAATGGACAACAAAGCCGCAAGCACAGTTGAGGTTTTCTGCAAATGGGAAAGGTGTCAAATTAAATATCCATATAGCCGCAAATGTTTCTTTCCTAAATTCCTTTGACAATAATGCAAGCATAATAATTGGGCGAGAAGAGGTAGGAATTCAAAGGGCTATACTTTTTTTTTCTTTTTTACACCAATTAGGCACGGTTGAAATATTCTTACTGATTCATACTTGTACATATGTATGTTTTATATACGTAAGTTTTACGTATGTAAATATCACTTGTGCTGCTGCCGATTATAGTTATTATATTGGAGAAAGTAATCGATATACCATTAATGTAATCAGAATAATTTATTTGTATATTGCTCAATTTTTAAGTAGATTTATATATTTCTGATTAAATGGAGGGCCAAATAGGTAATGGGCTGCTGAACATATCTATGCCATATCTATAATATTATAGTCCATCAGAAGGCAAAATATATAATTATTTTTGGAAAAATATTTAATTGCTATCTATTATTTATACTAAACTTGACATTGGTTTGAGTAGACGAGCATGAAGAATAAACCACCAGTTATAAAATATATAAAGATTTGTTTGATATTAGTTATAAGAATCGAAATTTTGTCAGTTTAAGCTGAGATTCAATTCTGTCAAATATGTCGGCTAATAATTAAAATTTATATTCGAAACAATAATCCAAATATTAATAATAAACCAATTCAAGTAAATTTTGACTTTTCCTATACACATTGGTAGCTTATATTCTGCCAGTAAAAATTAATCACGAGTCGGATACAAATATCCAGCAAATATGAAAAATAGAAGTTATTCCGACAGGTTCACTCCATGTGACTCAAAACGGTTATAATTGATTTTATTTCCACGGTATACTAAATTTTTATGATTCTATTATGACGTTTTGTAGCAATTACTTCTGATGATAATCTTATATATTATAAACTCTTTTCAATAAGTACTTGTATTATCAATATATAACGACGATGTGCATCTACATAATTCAACAGCTAACACTGTGACAAGTTACATCGAATTCCTTTTAAAATAAATTTAGCTTTCTTGAAAATAAAATGACAAGTTAATTACTCTATATAAAAATCAATAGCAGAGTAAAAGCAAAGTGTCGAATAAAACTTTGAAGGTAATATTTCAGATGTCACGACATTTAGCATTGACAAATGCTTAACGAATAATGCCAAAAGTGGAAGCGAAAAGTCATTACACAGCAGAATTAGTCAGAAGTTAGCAATTTCGCAGTGCAGGTAGGTTAATAGCATGAACGTGTTGAGCTGAGCAAACACAATTACATATAGACACTTGAGGGACTGAGTTGAAATGGTTAGGCAAATCCACGGACTGTAGGAATTCAACCTATTTACAGGAATGTTATGTAAAAATACAAAGCAAACTAAAATACGCTTTACGACAATTTCCTTTGTTACTGCTGCCATGGTGTGTTACTCATGTGCGTTGCTGTTACGTGTCCTCTAAAATTGCCAACCTTTATGTAGTGGCGGTAGTTTATTAGGCAACAAAGGTCAGATGCCCAGAATAAAACCCGTTAAGGTTGAGAGTTATATTGCCGAAACTCGAGCCCCTTCCTATCATAAGAGTGCGAATATGCCCACTGGTAGATCACATCGTTGATAGCTGCTCAGTTTATTTTAGTCTTTTACTTATTTTTCTCCTTCGTTCAAAGTATATGCGGGTCGACTACGAATGGAGATATGAAAATGTGACGAAATTTAAAGCTATAATCGGGTTTATGGGAGAATGTGGCAATAGGTAGAGTAAATTACATTAAAAATGGTAGTCGATAAAATTGAGTTAATAATATTAAACTGTAATGCTTGCGAGGTGAGGAAAAAAATTAAAAAGGTCACAATTATAATAAATTTGCGGCATGTGTAGGGGGCATACCTGCATATTGTAGAAAAAGGAAAAAGAGCAACATAATATCACAGAAATTAACGTGACAAAGGTCCACGATCTCGTATTGGCAAAGCTTTAACTGAACTTGCTTGAGATAGCTGAGACAGTAGGCATCTCAAAAGATCGCATGGATCACAAAAAGCAATTTCATGAATAAAAAAAATGCGCTCCTACTATAACAACGCATCAGCTCACATTTCCACCGTTGTCACAACCGAATTGATTAAGCTACGTACTGATGCCCCGTCCATCATATTCCTTAGATTTCGTCTACTTGGCAGACCTCCAACAAATGCCTTTTTCATATGGATTAAAGCAGAATAGCTGAATCAAATTTATCAATCATAATGAAGACTATGTTGAACCGTATTTTTTTTTTCGTTTTTCGTTTGTACCCAGTACCAGAATTTAGATGTATAGAATTAAAATTGGTTGGTATTTTTAATACCAGGAGCATACTATAACGTTTAATGAAATGTTTATTTATTTAATGAGAAACCATATTGTATACAATGCAACTTGTAAACGTTGCGATTTCTTTTTCATGTCCTTTTTTGACAAGAGAATAGAGCACAATGATAACGAGACGGTACAATTTCTCCAGAAACAGTGAAAAATTTTGTTGTTGTTGTAGAGGCAAAATTCTGTCCTGGCCGGATAAAATCCGGACCCGTTCCGGTTGCGTAGACCCGACTGTCGTGGGTACGGGTGAAAAATCTGTAATGGTTTGCTAATTTTTATAAATATTATTAAAAATATTTTTGAATTTGGTAATTTGATCAAAACGTCGATAATGTGAGCATTTAAATATCTTAAATTTTACAAAATTTTGTATTTACAACATTATTCTCTTATGAGCTGGAAAAACCGATGAAAATAACTATGTATACAGTTATTCACCAGACAGCCAACGACCGGAAATACCATAAGGCGCAGTTGGCTGTACTGTCCATCCTCAATTCTACGACTTTTTAGTTCATACACATACTTATACCTAGATACATATGTCATTCATAAGGCATGTTTGTAAGTTTCTTTGTGTCATACGATAATGTTTACTGTACGTTATACATATAGGTATATACATTATATCGTGCACCTGGCCATGTTGGGTAACTGCGCGAAATGAGTGACCGCATGAAATCGTATGAAAATGGGCGCCGGTTGTCAGAAGTCGTTACTGCTTCACACTGTCAGCAATTGGAGTTATGCTACGTATGTATGTGCTCATGTACCAAGTTGGTGAAGAAAAAACACTATATATGCATATGCACACGAATTTGTAAAAGGAATTTGGTTATGGTTTGGCTTTATGTACTCTGCTTTGCAATTTGCATTTGTTTTTTTTTTTTTTGTTTTTTTTTATTTCCGAACAGTAAAAAATATTTAACAAAACGAAGTTTCAAAGCACAATTTTGAACAATAGTGCATGTAAAGAAATAAACAAGAGGAAGAGCGTCTAGGAGAGCATGTATGCTAACTCAGAGGACAAAAAGTGTAAAACGCGTCAATTTGCATTATTGTTACGTAACAGCACAGCAGAGTACAAAACAACCGCACTCACACCGAGAATCACCATTTGAAGAGATGTGAAAGCGTTGTCAGTAAAGTACAATTAATTTGGGTGTGCAAGCTCTGCAGAAGTGGAGCAGTGTGCGGCAGGTATGCGTGATAATTTCAAAATTGTTCATTTGTTGTCATGCGGTAAAAGTTAACTGCACGAAACCTCTTTCCTGGTGCAAGTTAAATGTGCAAACGTGCAAGGGAAAAACTGAATTGCAAATTTTTCAGAACACATCTTCATATACGTATGTACATATATATTTATATATTAAATTATAATATAAATATAAAATTTTCAAGAATAAAACAAAATGTGTCTGCCTCTGTAAGAAATGAATTATAGCAATGACCTGTTTTAGTGGTGCGGAATTTTCCCGGTCCTACATAAAACAAACTGGCAAAAACGTTAATTTCGCCTGCAACGAAGCTATAATACCCTGCACATTTTAATCGATTACTTTAAATGGCAGCTATATGCTAAAGTGGTGCGATGTGAACAATATGCTTGTACCATTGCTTTAAACAATAAATCATGCCAAATTTTGTCATGATATCTAGCCAAAAAATATTTTCCTTACAAGGGCATAAGCTCGATCGGTTACTTTCTATGACAGCTATATGCCATAGTT